GTGTGTGTGTGTGTGTGTGTGTGTGTAGGAGGTTCACTTTGAACAGCTTGTGTAACGTTGGCCAAACGTCTGGAGTAATTGTCCTGTAAACACCATCCATGAATCCTGCCGATGTGCCCTTGAGCATGACATTGACACTAAATGCCTGAAATCACTGGATAACAACTTAAATTCATGAAGTTACTTCACTATGAAGTGAAAAACAGGTTTCAATGGTAAAAAACACTTTATTTTCATGTATTTATTTATTCATCTTATTCTATTTCCCCCCCATTTATTTATGACGATGTTTTAAATGAATAAAAACAAATGTGATGTGAATAATTAGAGAGCGACCTGCGAAAGTGGACAAACTTCCAAACGGCTCAACAAACATCTTGTGTCCGTAATAAGAAAGAAAAAGAAACAGAAAGTTTTTCCCGGCTTCTGTCCGACTGTTTATCACACATGACTAAAGTCGTGAAGGTCAAAAGAAGAGAAACGTGTTCACCGACCTGTTTGAGTCTCTCGACAGTTTATAAAACAGTTTGAAAAAGGTGTTGAACAGATCAATACTCTTGAGGAAGCACAATTTCTGATGCTGTGGCAGCCGTTGTTTTGCCTGAAGGTGAATTCCTCCTTGTTTGGAGCAGAACAGACATTTACATCCAATTAATTTTTGCGCAACAAATGTACAAGATAAGGGTTGAAATTCCACCATCATGGATTTTTACTGCAGGCGGGTTGGTGTTGCGTCTGTGGGGCTCGGATAACGTCTAAATTGGCTTGTCTGGTGGAAATTTAGAAGAACGGGGTAAAAGCTCGACACTGTTTTGCCTCTAAGGCGTCTTCAGAGCTCACCGAGACGATTGGTCTCAGATGTCAAGTTTCTGGCTCAGCTAACGCTCAGCAGATCCGAGAGCAGGGTCGGTGGATAAAGAACTCTGCATCTCAACCCCCAGGTACGGACAGTTTTATAAATCTGTACAAAGTGAAATATAAACAAGATGAAATAGATTGTGAACTTTGTCCTGTACCTGTTCTCCGGTGCGTTGGTCAGCGAGACGACGATGTTCTGGTCGATGAAGATGAGGAGGGCGAGCAGGAAGCCGAGGCCCATGGCGCTCAGAACGTTCATGGGGGACAGACGCTCGAACGGAGCCACGTTGAAGACGGGCCGGTCGTGAACTTTAAACACGGGAACTGATCAAACGGGAAGAAACAAACAGTGAACACGAGAACTCACTCACTCACTCACTCCTCCCTGCTGACTGAACATGGAATCACACGCAGAGGACCGAGGTCAGCGTCGCCTCTGTTTTCTTTCAGATAACGTTATCTTAATTTACGAGCTAATTGATTGCACCTCCGTCAGTTATCTGTTATCTGCTTATGAAGCAGTCGTTTTACGTCTGGATGTCCTGTGGAGGGATTTGGGGAAAAATAAAATCTAGATTCAGCCGTTTGTAAAATTCACAACCACGAGTAAAACTCATCAGATTTTAACTGTGTCTGAAAACGTGGCGATGACTCACGTTGTCAGACTGTTTCCGTAGAGTAGCTGGATTCTCTCTCTCTCTCTTTTTTTTTTTTTTAATGCCTGATATCTTGTCTTAAACTGTGTCTCCTGCAGTTCAGCTGAATTAAGTGCAGTTGGTTAAATTTAGGACAATACAGTAATGGCCCTATTATTTGATGACTTATTGTCTCGGGAGGAAAAGGAACAGAAAATTGGCCCGGCACTTAAATTTAAATTCACTCGAGGGTTTGGCGCTCGTCTCTGTGTTTGTGCGTCGACCCCTGGAGAACAGCTACTGCCATGGCAACAATGAATGGAGACTCAAAAAACGATGCTAAACAATAGAGGATGAGAACTGGAAATCTCCAATGTGTTTTTAGCGTGTGTCTTGATTAAGGAACAATACGTGTGGAAATAATGGAGACATGACAGAAGCAAAACCTGCGCTGGAGGCAAAACGGACCAAACGTGTGGATGTGAATCTGAAAATGTATTTTATTAGTTTACACTGTTTTTTAAATGGATTCATCTGAAATGTAAAATTAAGTTTTTAACGCACATACAGGTTTAATAATAACCTAACTACTGATTATTTATCTCATAATCAAATAGTTTTTTTTACTGTGTGAATTATAAACTCACAGGTTAACGAGAGTAAATCACTTTGACTCCGGTGAGGAACAAGTAGGAAAGATAAAACAACACCGTGTCGACGTTCGCTGCGCGCCGAGCGACACGCTGTGTGATCGGTCCGTGTGGTTCTGCTTAGTATGAAGAACTGTGGTGCAAACTGCTCAGTGAAGCAACAAATGATACTGACGCTCAATGTCACTGAAAAGGTAGGAGCCGATGAAGGAGAACATGAGCACGGAGATCGGCAGGGCGCAGTCCGACAGCACCTCCCTCATTTTGGCATGCAGGAACGGACTGAGAGAGAGAGAGAGAGAGAGAGAGAGAGAGAGAGAGACAGAGAGAAATAATAAAGGAATGCAATTACTATGGACAAGACAAGGACAATGGCTGCAATCCTGACACTGTTTAAGTACCCTGGTCTGCCTCTTGCTTACACAATTGAATCCGGCTTTGAGGTTGATTTGATTACTGGGAGCAATCAGAAGGAGAATATTAATGCTTATCGAATCACGGGCTGGAACAAAACCTTTGAGAGAAAAGGGGGTTTTGTAAAAGCTTGTCTGGAAACTTCCTACGAGCTCTGTCACTACTGACGATATTTAGAGTCAAGCCCTCACTCAGCTGCATTCACCGCGGCCAGCAACACGATGTAGACTTCTCCAGTGATTTATCTGGAGGAGTGCCGCAGCGCCGCAGCGCCGCACGTACCTCCTCTTGAACTGGTAGAGGGTGTAACCCATCCATAACGTCCCGAGCATCAGCAGGAGGCAGAGGACAGGTCTCTCCCGAGTGCAATTGATGAGGGATTCAGGGAGGGCGTTGAGCACCAACCCCGCCGCCACCTCACTCTGGTTTCCTCCCAACAGGTCTCCGGCCTTCGGGAGGTCCTCGATGCTTCTGTTGGCCAGCGTGGGAGCGTGGTAATATCTGTGAAAGACTGAATCACAACCACACTTTTTAGATAAGCAGGGAAAAGACTGAGAGGGAAATTAACCAACACTGAAACAATAAATTAAATCGAACGTGGTGATCTGTGTTGACCTCCACATGATTCATAACGACAAATTTCTTTAACTTTTTTTTACAAATTCCAAATACTCTCTCAACGCCAAGCCTCAGCATGTTGGTGTGTTGTGCTCAGCAGCAGATGCTGGCATGATAGAATGCTAAACTAAAGACTGTGAATGTGGTAAACATTACACCAGCCAAACGTGCTTTTAACTTAAAGCACCGCTGCGACTAAGTACAGCCTCGCACAGCCACTAATGCGGCAGCAGACTCTTCGCCTTATTTAGTCTTGACAGTCAGAGAGAAGCCCGAATTAAACATCTGAGTAAATACAGAGGAAGACGCACTGAGCGATGGTTTCGACGACCATTACGGCCTTGTTGTTTGGTTAACCCCTGAAATCCTGCGAGACATCTTGACTGTCGAGCAAAAAACAATCAGCTCCAAACAGTTCGTGTTGTTTATGCTGCAGTCAGAACAGAAAGAAACAGGAAAAATACTAAATTTAGGTGAAATGTTTGTTGTAAAGAAGCTGGTGGCAAAAACTGCGGAGTCTTCAGGGAGAGCTGCACGAGAGAGACCCTCATAAAAAATGAGATGAGTCTGCTGAGCTGTGGTTCTGCAATAAAAACCTGATCAACTCAAAAAATATTAACGCGAGGCGAACTGCCCTGTTTTTCTTTATCGGCTCACACACGTGACGCTAGAGTTTCTAATTACAGTGATTAACATCAAACACGTTTAAAATAATCCCGATGACAACAGTCGGCATCTGGATCAGAGGTCAAACAAGGAGAATCATTAGACACCACACACTGAGTGAGTTGTGGACTCTGCCTCCTGAAAACATCCCTGACACCCAGATCAGACGAGATCAGAGGGAATGACAGAATAAACAACCCAACAATCATTATTAATTTCTCCTCCTGGGACAACGGACTCTGTCGAGAAACGCTCCAGCTCCTTTAAATAAGATGAAGGGCTCAACCTTTCCTATCAGAGTCCCACACACAAGTAGTTTCTATCATCACTTTCAGCGTGAAACATCCTGGATGCAGCTCCCGCTGCCGGCTTTTTAAAAAATGGATCAAACCTGGAGAAAGTTTTTCGAGCGGACAAAGTCGTAGAAAAAGAGACTGAACGCACAGACGAAATGTTTCGATTCGATTTCCAGAAAATATTTGGGAGGAAAAGTGTCAACACAATGTCACAGGTTAATGTTATGGTAATGGCATATGAGCTCGGAGCATATTTTACTACTGCACCGGCAATCTCAAAAAAATGAGGACGATATCGCATTCAAAACAAATTACATTCCGCTATCGTCATCTCATTTTGTGGAAATTAAATTGTGTAAAATATTTATGATATACTAAGATGAGGTGCAGTAAAGGCAGGGCTGCAGTAATATGGCTGCAGGCTGGGTTCGAAATCTGGATTGATTAATTTGGTACATGGTACTCTATCTCTCAGGCTCCCGCTCTGCCGACACAACAGAGGAACAGGAAGTGATGCATGTTTTCTGTCGTTCCACCGCCAAACTGAGGACGGCTAGTTTTCTTACTCAGGTAAAATGCTCATCTGTCTGAATGAGAGGAACTGCTTTTACCACACTGGTTCAACTATTCAACAAAAGAGGAATAAGTGTGAAATCTGAAAAGCCAACGATAATTAGCATTAAACGATAGAAGATAAGAAGAGTTCTTGACTTCGGACCTCAGCCGAGACGTTGAACGAAGCGAGGCGGTGGATCCGACAGCAGGCATCATACGAATGTTTCTGATTAGTCTGAGCCGACCTCAAGCTTTTGATTTGCACGGACAAAACACCAGCGATGCATCAGGAAGGAACTACAGCACAAGCACATGACCCAGCGAAGACAGTGATGTAAACAGGCCGCGGGCCGAGCGGTGAGAACAAAGAAGAGCAAAGAGGAAGAGGATATCTGTCATGTGCGTCGGGAACTTACTTTTCACGGTGCCTTTCACTGCATCCACCACAAATGCAATGGAAATGAACAGAGCGATGACCTCCTCCGTCGACCTGGAAAACCACAGGAACATTACAGAGGCCGCAGCGAGGTTGTCATAGTAAAAGACTCGCGTCAGTCAGTGTGAACTAATCTCCATGAAAGAGATTCAACACATACTAATTTAAGATTTTTTCTAAATCATTCCATTCTTGCTAGCTAACCCGTGTAGACTGGTAAAATATCTCCACCGCCGGGGCTGTCCCAGGCGACAGACGTCTTTCTTACACAATGCAGACAGACTTTCCTGAGTGCCGGTGATTTCGCAGCAGACGCTGTTCGTGAACGTCCAATTTAAAACATTTTTTCTGTTTGACAGAGGAGGAGGCATGCCAACACATGAAAGAAAATTTAATAATTGATTGAATAAATTGGACGGCAATGAAACGACAAACAATCAAAGTGAGTCTGACGTGCGAGTGCGTGTGAGAGATACCTCTTGAAGAGCTTCATGAGCAGGCTGACGTTAAATATCCCTCCCAGGATGAGGAAGAGGCAGTTCCACAGGCCGATGCAGGCGTAGAACGCCGGGAAGTCCAGGTTGTAGTCGTCACAGATTCCTCGGATCACTGCGAGGTGCGCACGTGAACGCAAACACACACGGAGACAGAAATGTAAACACAAATCACGAAACGTCTGATCATCACCAACGTGCTCCCACATCCTCAGGACTGACAGCTTCTTTAGCTTCTTTTGCTAACGAGGCAGCAGTGAACCAGTCGTCCCCTCGTGATGTGGCTGTTGTTGGATAATTTGTGTAACTTGAAAAGACAGAAACTCTGTGAGGATGAGCTCCTTCTCTCGTGTTTTGTCAGGTCACAGTGAGCTGGTAATTTCCCCTCCATCCTTGAGTCCAAGCGACTGTTTGTGCCAGATTTCATGGGGCGGCCGAGGCTGTGGCCGAACCAACCAGAGGGTCGGCTGATCGAATCCCAGCCCTTGTGCGTCCTTGGGCAAGATGCTGAACCCCATAAAATGGCCCCTCGCAAAAGTTGAATGCACCAATTGTAAGTCGCTTTGGATAAAAGCTAAATGACGAGATGTGATTAAATCCTCTGTGGGTGTTCCAGATATTTCACATTCACGCGAACATGAGGTCACCGCGACCTTCACCGCCAAAATCAAATCAGATCATCTTTGAGTCCGACTTAATGTTTGTGCAAGACTTGATTTGTAAGGCCACAGTGACCTTGACCTTTGACCTTCGACCACCAACATAGCCAGTTCATCATTAAGTCAAAGTGAGTGTATTCCCTCGCGGCGTTCTTGAGATGCCAGGTTCACAGAGACGAGACAGAGAGACGCAGAGACGTAACGATTAAAACTACACACACACAACATGACACTAAAGGATTGCAATGTTTTTGTTAAAGCTACAAACATTCAATTGTAATCTCGAGCATATTTGTGCAAAGATGAATTACAACTTCACAAACCAGCCATTGTTCTGCTCAGACAGGCTCCTGGAAATCTGCTGTGATCATCCCCATGAGGATGTACTTTACACACCTCTAACCCAATTACTTCAAACTTCATCACATCACAAATCCAACAAACTGCTTTGGAATTAAAACATCTTGGCATCGGAGTTGCTGCTTTTCCCATCCCCCGATTCTGCAGCTTCCAGCCTTCAGGATCGTTTAGATTCCAACAAACAGAATGTTGCTTTCGGGTAAAAACCATGTAATAGTTAACATGCAGCCGAATATTAACTTTTCATGTTTTTACGACCCTGAAACCAACCGTTACATGATTCCATTCAATTTTATTTGCATAGCACCAAATCTAATGTCAGTTCTTATTTCTGTTGGTTTTTAGAGACACATGGAGGAGCAGGAACATTTTGGATATATGTGTCAAGAAACGGCTAAATTCGTGTTTTCTGCTAAAAGAGGAAGCAGATGAGGGCGTAAGAGTTTCTTGCAGTTGTTGTACACGCCTTAGTGCATCGCAGAGATTTGACCTAATCTTCTAAGCCCTCCACCCACCCACCGCCTCCTTCTTAAACCAAACTTTATTCTGGCAGAGGTGAATGACAGGGGAAGCCTACCGCTGATGAAGATGGCGAGGGGAGCCGTGGTTAGAGGGATGACCAGAGGAGAGCCGGCGAACAACGAGTAGATGACCCCGCCGATGCTCTGGCCGATGATGGTCTTCCGAACATCTGCGCAGAGAAGAAACACACAGAAAAAACACAGGAGGAAAAACTGATTAATATAATTATTATAATATAATATCATGTTTCTAATGCCAAAACATAGTTCAAGGTCAAAGTGAAAACTAAAAGGTACTCGTGCTTTTTGCTGTTGAACAACTAATTAACTAATCATCAATTCAACTGACTAAAAACATCATCTCAGGAACACTGGTGCTTTTGTTTTGTTTCTGAATTTTCAGTTTGAATCAATGGAACAAAATCTCCCTGTGAAGATGCGAGTCTGTCAAACAGGACATTTAGAGTCTCTGCTCACGTGTCTGCATGCAAGAACGTGCTCGTACCGATCTCGCCACGTGTGCTCTCATCGTTCAGGGAGCCGAACGCGATGGCGGGGAGGAGGATGGCGATGTAGAGGAAGATGGCTGTGGTCATGTACTTCAGCAGGGTTTTATTACTGCCAACTATACCTGAGGGGAGATAAACACAAACACATGAGTCACATAATCTCATAACGGAGCGGAGGGGGCTCAACACTCTAATTTCAAAACTGACAAAAACATTAGTGGACTTCATCATTCAGTCAGTTACTGTAAAACTATTTTACAAAAGGCTTTCACTGCCTGTTGGCCCTTTAAAAAAAACCCCACAATAATAATAAGAGTAATTTGTTTCCGTTTTGTGCGATCCATCATGTTGTAAGAGCAGTTATCGTCCATCCGAATGATGGATAACTCCTTTTTGAAATAAAACACTTTAATTGGGCTCTAATGCGATCACAGTGATTCTGGTCCTGTGACCTTCATCAGATGATCATTATCTGATGACACTCACAAGACAGAAATATCTTGATTTTGTTACAGCCCAATGAATGTGTTTGGATATTATGAAATGAGAGAGGGCTGAGAGGGAGCGGCGGAGGAGGAGGAGAATCCAGAGAGAAAAACCCTTCTTCATCTTCTTCTTCTTCACTGTACTTTACTCTTTTCAAGGCAAAGTACCTGGTTTAATGGAGCAGTTACAATTAAAAATGATAGAAAATCTTCACCGACAACGACGGAAACTCTTTCATACATTTGCTAATTTGATTTAATGCGACATGATGAAAAATAACAACACTATCAGTTGATTTTGCGATTGGAATGTTCAGGCCAATGTCCTTGTCCACCGTCTTTGGACGTGAGACAATAATATTTGACATATGTGAACATATGGCAGCAGTAAAACATCTGAGACAGTCGTTTTAGCAGGGGAAGATCCTGGATGTGACACAGATGCAGCACAGATGCATCTGAGGCGCAGGGTGACAGATAAATGAGGAGCTGCCAGCAGCACCCTGTTGTGGCATAATAAGGAAGATGATTCACTTTCACTACAAGTCCAAGTCCGGCCTACCATCTGTGAAGTCAGAGGGGTAGAAGGGCAGTCTGCGGCACAGGTCCTCATAAATCCCCCGGCCGGCTTTGAAGAAATCTTTACACTGTGGACAGAAGGAGGAAGGTTAGAGTCTCAACAAGGACACAGAGTTTCCAAGATGACAAGTGACTGAAAACAGGATCGGTCTCCGTCCAACCTCCGTCGCCTACAGGCGAGAGAAGTGACAGCTGCGGAGGGACATGCCAGTGTGCGCCATCTACAGGCAAAGACACAAACAGCCACTGGAGTTTTAAAGTGGCCACCTGCAGCCAAAGTGACGCAACTGCAGTTTTGTCTATTGCTGTAGTTGTAGTTGTAGTAATACTGGTTTGCTCTGAGCGTCATCCCAAATAAAACTGAATATAAATATGGTTTCATAAGAGGACTGTTGGGCCTTGGTGGACGTACGCGCTTTTCTAGTTTACATGTTATTGTTTTTGTAATTTTGACATTTTGCTTTTAGGCATCTTGACAATTAGGCTCCAAAAAACAGCATCTATGTCCAGAGGCTTCACTGACCGAGTAATTTCTTCTGCACTCGCGGACAACGACACATTTAAATAAAAAATTGCCCATTTGAGGATTCCACTAAGACGCTGGTGATGCCACAGGGTGCTCTCTCTCTCTCTCTCAAAGATGATTTGAGCAATCAAATTTAACGAGGTAGTCCGAGGAAATCTTTAATTGCATAATACGAAGACAAAGTACGCAGAGCAGCGCGGGAGGGTTTACATTTTTTAAACGTCCCTGTGTCCCCACAATGATCAAGAATGACAGAGAGATAACAGCAACAGCGAGGGACGGACGATTTAGAGTCATTTTAGAGACGTCAGGAGGAGGACGACTGGGAGAGGGCCACGTGATTCAAGAGGGGACGTGAAGGGCTTCTTAAAAAGATGAGCTTTCAGGTTACAGAAGATCGGGAACAAACGTGCAGCCCTGACTGAGCTTATTAAGTAAATTATCCACTTACCCAATGTTCCGTTTTCCTGTTGAACATAGCATTATGCAATTAAATGGATCGAGCGACGACGAGGGGGAATATAAGTACGTATAGCTCTTGGGAAAAATAATTTCTGCCTCATTTGTCATTGTAAAAAGTTTTGGCAGTTTTTGGCAGAACAGAGTAATTTATCTCAACACAAACGACATGAAAACAAACAACAGCATCAGCGTTTCGTTTTTTTTTTTCTTTCTCTCTGTGCAGACTGGCAAGTTTTACCAAGCTGCACATGCATGTTCAACAAGGACTGTTCATCTGTTAAATCCCTGTACATCATGGAAATAATGTATTATTACAGCAGAGGTTGTGATTGTGTCCTCTGTGCGTGTACGTGCGTGTACGTGTGTGTGTGTGTGTGTGTGTGTGTG